AACAATACTAAGGAAGGGGCAGTGTTACGACAGCGGGGTCACGTGACTCTAGCAACACGTCATATTCTCGACCGTTCACATCCCTTCCTGAAGTCTCGAGAGGTTACTAGATATGCGGTATTCTTGTATATTTAAGACCGGTAAGAGGTGACGGCAACAATGTAATGTACTGTGTAATTGAACTGCAGACAGAGAGAGACTGACGATTGAGTCGAGCACGTGAGTCGTTCGTTGTGAATTATAGCGTTTGTTATAGCGTGACTGTGGAAATTAAGTGTATTGCAAAGTTGTATTCAGAAAGAATAAACCAGTTTTATTTAAGAAAGGACTTGTATCGGTAAAGTTTCTTCGGAAATAATTTTTACGGAAAATTAACTAACGACCAGAGACGTAACAGTATTTATAGCTAGACTCTCCCCTATTAGGTAGAGAGATTTTTATTAGATTAAATTCTGTTAAAGCTTTTAAGACTAAGAGTTTTACTTAGATCTACAGTAAATTCATTGCCAGTACATTGTTATTGTCTGTCTTTAGCATATTCATTTTGCCTTGTTTTAACTTTTAATTTTAACCTTCTCTTACATGTTGGGCTAACACTCAGGTGGTGAGAGAGAACCACTATAGGTTTGTTTTTACATCATCTCTTTCTTGCCTAGGGCCAATTGGGGCGGGAGGGGGGGTAGGAGAATCATTTGGCCAGAGCCTCAAGCTCAAAGGGAGCCACAAATTTAGACTTGTTATTTTTTTGCATTTGTTAAATTTCACGACTTGTTTTATACCTATAAAAGCATTTATTAAATGTTAAGTCATGTTGATAAATATATGTTAAATATAAAATATTCAAATTATGTTTCACTTTTAATTTGGGCTAATGATTGTCTTATATTGTGTCAAATTTTTTTATCTTTATTATAGCCAGGGGCCTCAAAAGATAGAAGTACCCCGGACCTACTCTTACCAGTTCCACCCACCGATTACAAACACTTGCCGTTGTTTCGTTTTTGTATTGTGCTTGGCTTTGGCTGTGTTCTGTATATAAATAATGCTGTTGTTGTGCATTTTGTATACGAACTCTTTCTTGGTGACAAACTCGGTCAGATTTCAAGGCGATTTAAACCCATATTCTATGATGTTTTGGACTTCCTGTTTAGTGGACCTTATCCATTTATTTTGAGGAAAATTTTTGTAACGGAAAATATCACACCACTCTAAATCACGGTAGAATGTATTGTTAGAGAATATAAATCGAAATTCCCTTCCTTGGTGGTTTCTTAGGAGTTCAACTAAACAATAAAATATAACTACTAAAATTATACTTATTTCTTACCGTATCACCAGTTTAGTTTAAAAGGTTTAACGGAAATTTTTAATTAAATGCTAAAATAATATTTTGTAAGTATAGTATTAGTCAATTTTTCATATATATGTAATCTTTTTTCACTTCATGAGAACACTTTAACGTGTAAAGTACATCGATGTAGCAAGTTGTTTAGACATTGTTTATTTTTGATAGAGTCAAAATGTAGTTTTGGCGTTTCAGAAAAAATATCCTAAATACACGTTCTACTACAGCTGGCTTAATGATTTTTAATTAAAACCCCCCTTTACAAGCAACTGAGCATGCGTTGCTTATTGAGTTGCGGATTGATGCTCTTAGTGTTAGGCGTATCCATTAACTAGTGATATTTATGGATTTAGCATGAATGCGATAATAATTTTCCTTGGCCCAGTTGCTCCAAAATACAAAGAATAGTTATTTATGTCATAATTTAATACAAAGCCTGTAACTTTAAAAGTTCGTTTGGTATATGAAGTACATTATACTTTTATTTAAAGAATAATGTCAAAACCACAGCAAATTTTACAACTGGAACCCCCTTCAGAGCTACATTTCAAGGGTAAGACTAGTACTAGTACTAGTATATATAGTTATACTTATAGTGAGACTGAGAGTCATAAAACTGAATTTGATATAATGATAGATTGAAAGTACTGCTACTTGTTAATTATAGTACTACCATTAGTACTAATAGTAATAGTTATTACATTTTTCATGGCTCGTATACTATAGCTAGTCATACTGTCTTACTAAGTTACTAGTAAGTTCAAGGTTGTCCTTCTACTTCTACTCTTGAGAAAAGTACAAATTTAAACAAGACGTTTTATTTTTCACGGAGTCATCGTTTTTTTCTTATGGTATTGTAAAGTTCTGGCATTTACTACTACCAACAGTAAAATGTTCTATACATCGGTTATCCTACTAGAAAAATAAAACTGTCTTGAATGGAGCCTAGCCTGTCTTTTTCCAGATCTTTAACTTGTGTCCTTTAGAATATAGCACAGAAATCAGAGGACTTTAACCTATTGATCACCTGGAATTTCTTGCAAATAATGTCACCAGCAAAAAGATATATTAATCTATACCAGCAAGATAACTCATCCATAGGTTCATCTTAGTAGTTCTCCTTTGAACCCTTTCCACTAAGTTAATATTCTTTCTTAAATAAGGAGACCAAAATGCTATTACAAGTGAGACTTACTACTGATTTGTATAGAGAAGTAATAACCTCTTTTGGCTTGTAATTAGTATGTCTGTAAATACACCCTAGGATTTTATTAGCTCTATTAGTATACTACTAGCAACAGAGCATTTCTTCAATGACTTGAGTAACTTACTTGCCACTTTGCAATCAATAAATTTGGCATCAAACTGTAGATTAATATTTAAATTTTACAACTATTCATTACTCAGTTTCTTAATTTAAAAGTAAATATTAAAAATCACAGATCAACATCGATTTTTGTGTGTCATGTGGTAGGTTGAATGCAGCACTGGTTCAGATTAGATGTTTGTGAAGTCAAAATACTAAATCTATAGTTTCATATGAATTAGAAACTCAAATTATAGATATTGACAAGCTAGAAGATCTTATCTTTTCTGTTTGCTAAGATATTGCTCATGTAATAAATCACATACAGTGGCACCTCGCTCACCTCTTTCCAATTTTGGAAACACTTTCTTATATACACTTCTATATATGACATGAATAACCATTCGGAAGCTCAGAATGTCCCCTAGTAGTTTTCTCAGCCTTTCTAATGTTCCTTCCACCATTTGTTTCTTTTGAATCAAGACTTCAATGATTTTTTAGTCTGTTCGAAATTTCATATTTTTTTGTAGACCCAAATACAGCTTAGTTACTAAGCTTGATAAATTATAGTAGAATTATATGGTATTGATGTAGTAATTTATGATTGTTTAGTTATTCAAAATTATATATAAAACCTAAAAAAAATATTTTGTTTCATATCCTCCACATGCAAAATTTTTACAGGCTTAGCAACCTACGTCAAGCAGCAACCGAATACAAAGGTCGTAAATAGAAGAAATAATTGTTTGCTTTACTTCTTTATTTACTGTTCTATGTTTTAAGAAAAATAACTTTAAGAACATATTTCAAAATAGCAATAATCTATATACATACATAATGTATAAAAATTGAAATTAAAATACAGTCACTCTGTACAAAGTAATTTGTCTTGGCTGTGTTTTAGTCAACTAGTATTTTGCTAAAGGTCACCTTTATGTTATTTGATAGGGTAGCATGAGTGCACATGAGCCACGTCGTTGTAACTTTTGTATTGTTAGCCAGGCATGGGTGAAAGGTCAATATAATGAAAATAATAAATATATATATATATATATAAAGAAATTTCCAAATTTTCTGATGCATAAAAGTATTTTTAATCTTAAAATAAAATTACTTTGCATGATAGATAGGCAAGATGTGAAAAGAAAAAAAAAAGGCATGAGAGATACATTGCTTTACAAACTTTAAGACTTAATAAAAACACTAGATATTTTGGATATGAAAGAATTGTAATGTTTACTGATAAACTGCCAGATTTCATTAACATTTGCTTACTAATTTCAAAGTTATAGCATGAAAACTATAACAAGCACAAAATGGTTACGAAGTTGGTCCCAGGGATCGAGCCAAGTTGAAAGAGTTAATTAGGTGTTATATAGATATGCAAAACATTGATAAATCAAAGTTACTTCTGTAAACTATAAGCTACAAGTCATTAAGTCTGGAGGCTAAAAATAATCATTACTTAGATATTGATATTTGGCACCTCTACTGTTTTCTATGGTAATAAAAATATGTTATAATATTGAACTATTTAAAGTTATGGTATTAAATAATACACATTTTCAACATAATTTATTATTTCATTTAACTTGTTCTGATATCCCTGTGGCGTGTCCAAGTGCATTAAAAATATTAGTTCAGATTTATTGTGTGTATGTATGAGTGTAGGGAAGCAATTTGTGTAACTGTGGCATGAGAGTTGTTCTTTCAAATTTAGATTTTGTGACTGATAGAGTGACTGGTGATTATAGAAGTAAATTATTGAGAAATAGGTTTTAGTATTCTGCAATGTGAGCAGGACATGTCTTTTGCATCACTTGTTAAGTTGTGCCTATGGCTGTAGATGAAATTTTTTTAGATGTCTAACCAATAATTATTATTTACATGTATGTTAAGGACAGTATATAATTGTCATTTATAGAAAATAAAACTTGATTTCTAATTTTAACCTGAAATATACAGGTTTTGCTTTATTTGAAATTTGTTACTGAAAGATGTTATATTTCTACATTATTTACATGGACACATTTTTTCTTGGACTTCAGGACCCTTCACAGATGTTACTACTTCAAATCTAACTTTGTACAACCCATCAGAATGGCGAGTATGTTTCAAAATAAAAACTACCACTCCAAAGAGATACTGTGTGAGACCAAACAGTGGAATTATAGAACCCAAACAGCACATGACTGTATCAGGTGAGTTTTCTCACATTTTTCTTTATGTTGTCTCTTAAGTTCATAGAATTATATAGCAGAAATAAATGTGCATCTATGGTCTTTCCAGTAGTCAAATTTCGTAAAGAAAATAAAGCAATTGGTAATTCAGATGTTCTCTCAATATACACTTAGAATCAATGTCTCACAGTATTAATTCATGTTGTTCAAATGATTGAAATTCTCATGCAATGGCCTGGGGCAAACTGTTGATCCTTGCCATTTCAAGATCTTGGTTAATCAAGGGCAATTTCTTTTTAATCCTGGGGCAACAACATTTTGTTTCAGGGCAGAGGAAACAATTTCAATATAACAAAATTAAACAAATGACACCCAAAGTATTGAAAAAAAATGTCTATCAATTTATTTGGGACCTTTTTTCATATAATATTTTTTTCACAGAACTCGTAAACAGTATTTTACTAGTTTCATGGCTGTACTAGCTTCATCTTAAAATCGTATTCATGAAAAAACCACTAGTCTATTTCTTGACAGTTCTTGTAAAAAGTGCTGAATTGCCCTTAATTTTAGGCATATTCATTAACGTTTTTTGTCATTTTCCAGTGATGCTGTTGTAGGATGTTGCATGTGTTGTTACTATAGCATCAGTATGAAATCAAAATTGAAAAGTGTACAAGAATTTGATGAATATGTCATGATTTGCATAAATATCAGCTCCACATGCAGGGGACAAAATAGTTTAGTGGATTTGATTAGCAGAAACTGCTAATCAATATTGAATTTGATTAGCAATTAGCAAATATTGCTTAGCATCTTTTTAACATTCATCATTTTAACACATTATGGTAACTAAATCCAGCACTAAAAGTCTTAACTCTTTGTAAAGAAATGCACTAATGAAAAGAGGTAAATGGTATGTTTTTATTCTAATAACACTTTTATTCAGCTTCAAACCCTAATATTTCATTGTACCATACATGGCATTTCATGAACGGAGGGGTGGTAAATAACTTGGAGAAGAGGGAATGCCTAGAGAATAAATGTCATTTCTCACATTAGGGGAAATTCAGGATTTTTTAAAATATTGTCTTATAAAATTAAGAACTGAAAATGTATATACTATTAAAATATGGATTATTACCTATGATTTTATGCTATACCAATTGATATAACATGTACAAAAAGTAGTTTAATTAAATTTCGAATGTAACTCACTAAAAGCCTCATGACATGCACAGTAAAAGATGCCTGTGGTGAGAGGGGTAATTACTAATGAAAAGTCACTAGACACTTTCTTCATCAAAAAGCCATGGAGACCACATTGTGAAGAGAGTGATGATGTCTCACCAAAAGAAAAATAAATAAAATAAACCAGATTAATTTGAAAAATGACTTGTGGTAACCTTGTTCAGTTGCAATTTCTTCAAGTCACTTTTTTCTCTGGTTATCAATTGTTGTATCATTTTGTGACAGCTGAGGTGTTTGGTATTTCTGACAGTTTTTGAAGTTTTATTTTATATACTAGGAACTACTTTAAGAAGTACAAAATTTAACATAAATTACTCATTATAATGTTTTCATCCCTCAGGCAAAGCATAATTTTCATAGCCCTCAATTTTGATTGGTTACATAGCCATAAAATAGAAAATCAGACCCCTCTTGCCACACACACCTGCCACATCCTCTCTTTCAGGATTTGTCAATAGTTCTCCCATACATTTAATACCGTATTATTTATAACCAATAGAAACCCAAGGTTTTAATCTGTCAAATGATGTATTGTATTGCATTGTTTTCTGTACAGAAAAATGTTAATTGCACTTTCAGTAGAAGTTTTGTTCTCACAGAAAACACATGGACTAGCTTGGATGAATTTTTAACAGCTCTTGTCGCATAGTTAGGAAGCTAGAAAAATTGTAATAGTTATGGGACATTGTCTGCTTTTTGCCTTTTATTATTCTATGTTGTTTGGTGCATTATTTAATAAAAATAGCTATAGTCCGAGCTATATAGGGTTTAACCCTGCTGACGTGATCAGGTAGGTATGTGAGTGGTAAATGGGAAAAGTTGCTGTTTTAGAAATTTTTGAATTGTTATACTTGAAATGTTAGTGACCTCTTTAGCATATTATTAGTTTATATGTTCATAATATATCATAACCAATACTTTGAATGGTCAGTTTTTAGCTCAGGAATTCAATAGGGGGGTTTTGGCATGTGAATTATTTGGAAACCTTGTTGATCCCAACAATTAAGTACTACTATACTTAATTAAATAAAAATTTAGTGCACTACTACAATTAGTATGAAAAATGTTGGGTTCAGTGTCATCGATGGTCAACAGCAAAAAGAAAAAGAAAGCCCAGGTAAGTACTTTTTCATGTGTATACTTTGTTTATTATTATAAAAGTAACTGAAATGTAAAAATAGTCAACTTTTTAGGCTAGTTAAAGTTAGATTAGGTAAAATAAATAATAATAATATAAAAAAATGTTAATGAGGCACGCACTTGAGCAGCTCAGAGTAGCTCTTGGGTAATGTAATTTGATACCATAACATGAGCCACATGTTTCCCAAGTGATTTACAACTTATAATGATGCAAATAGTAGTTAGACATGGTTCAAAGGGCAATAGAATTTAAGTATAAATAGATGCATACAGTTACCAGTTTAAAGCTACTTAGGATAAACAAATGAAGTTTCATGCTACAATTTGAAGTTGTTCTAGAAAGAAAAAGGGTAATTTTGATTTATTTCAATTTTTTTTTTTTTTATGGTTATGAGGTTGGTCAAATTGACCAATCTTGTATAGAGTTAGGGTAGAGAACATAACAGATAAAATAGGAAGTTTTTTGCTGAAAAAAATGTTTGAAATATATTTAGGAGGTTTTTAGAGATTATGCAAATGACATGTCAGATTTTTGAGATGAAGAAAAGTATTTTTATCCTTAACATGAAAATCACTTTGCACTTGGACTGGTCAAAAATAAAAGAATTGATATATTGATGGGCAAATCTTTAGTAAAAATACTTCTTTAAAAAACTGATTTTTTTGTGTACAAATGACTTGTAATGTTTACTAAAAGTCTGCCAAATTTTGTGAATATACACATGCTGTATTAAAAGTTCATTTATTAAAACTATATACAAGTAAAAATGGTTACATGGTTGGTCCAAGGGACTGAGCCCATACTGAGAGACCTCATAACTGGCTTAGTGCTAAATGTGCAATGTATGTGATATGTGCGGGAAATGAATATCAGCTGTGGCTTTGGTTTATTAAACTGAAACATTACGGCACTTTCACTGTGTTGTGGGAGGTCTCAATGACAACATACAAGAGAAAGGAATGATTCACACATTATGCTAAAAGGAAAGTGATTTGCAACTGGAGTTGTTTTGATTTGCAGATTGCAATGCGAACCTGGATATTTTGTCACTTGACATACGTACATTTAGGTCCTGATAATGTATGAAATGTCAGTGATGACCATATGGCTAGGAAAAGTTATAAAACACAACATTGCCATTTTCTGTGTATAGTAGTAAATGATTGACATGGATGATCATAGGAAATCACATTGATTGGGTTTTGAACATAATCTGACCTGAATGTTGAAAGGAGCTATTTCTTACTCCTGGAGGTTTGTTGTCACAATAACATATTTAATTAGCAGAAATTGTGCCAATGCAGCCATGAATTTTTATCCTAATATTTGTGTGTAAGTTTGTGTGTCCATCCAAATTAATATAAGGATTCAAGCCCTTAAAGGATACTGATGGCAAAGCTTTTGTTGAAAACTATGAAATGGCTTAGCTTTTAAATATTCTCTTCTGTTTTTCAAGAGAATATATTAGCAATATTCTTTATCCTGAACATTCTGTGAGAAATATTGAATTTCACTTGAATCGTATAGATATTAATCCCTTGGTAATAAGTAGGAAGATTGAGAGATTAAAAATAGATAAACCTCCAGGACAATGTAAGGTTTTTCCCCAGACTTTTAAAAGAAATCAAAGATCAGATGTGCAATCCTTCTCTTTCATTTTTATTAGGTCTATTGACTGTGGGTCTGAGGATTTGGGGTACTTAAGAGTTGTTTGGAAACTATAGCCATTTAATTTTTTGTACTGTTGAAAATTACATAGAATCTGTTAACATAAGCTTTACAAAATTTAGTTACAAGAAAGTCAAGGTAGATTTATCAAAGAAAATCTTTCCATAGTAATTGTTCCACTTTTTCAAGGGTGTAACTTGTCATCTGGATGATGGGAAGAGTGTGGGTTTGGTGAACTTATATTTCCAAGTTTATTGTAAGATGACATACATAAGATTAGCTAAGGAAATCATACTAGTAAGGTGGATGTACAATGACAGCCTTTAAGTTAAACAACTTAATATTTCCTTCCTGTCCATGTCTTGTATTTGCATTTGAAAGATCTAGTATCTGTGTTTAGAAAGCTTACTTATATTACAGTTAATATATATGTTACATTTCTGGATTAATTAGTCCAAAAATTCAAGAAAAATGTATGATCTCCAGAAAGTTTATAATGTTATTTATAGTTTACCTTGATCATTTTTATCATTTGATCCTTTCTTCATTGTTTAAGTCTTTTCTTTACTGATAGGTAATCACATATAGTATTAAATAAGATTAAGTTGTCTAATGACCCAACTGGTAATTAATGCTTAGGTTGATATTTTCACCCTCCACATAAAGTGTCAATGAAAGGTATCTTTGGAAAACAAGTACTGACTTGTGCATTGTTATTATGAATTTAATGTGGTGTGGGGAGGCTTTGAGGTATTCATATAATTTCGATATCTGTAAATGCATGAAAGTACTTTTCTGTGGTTGCTATTTTATATACAGTTTTAATTATCTCACACTTATTAGTTTGTGCATATTATTTTGTGAATGCAAATGTTAAGTCCAACTTTGGAAATTGAAGTGTTACACAAAGTATTTGTAGGTGTGAATGTGTTTGTGATATAATATAATATCATTTGGACTGGTTAATGAAAACAGTTTTTATCTTGTTAATATTTGTTAGTTTAATAGAAAGTGAAAAACAGCCACTTATAATATTTAGTGATGAGAAAACAATATTCCCTTAGCTGACCCAGAAAGAGATTATTATTTAATTCAGCTCATTTCTTTGATTAGCAGATAAGAAATAAATATTCCTCTTTTCTTCTCACTTATAAATGTAGTTATGCTTCAGCCATTTGATTATGATCCTCATGAAAAACTTAAACACAAATTCATGGTACAGACAATGATTGCACCAGAAGGAGACTGTAATCTTGAAACAGTGGTAAGTCTTGTCTCATTAATATTATTTTAAAGTCTCGTTTTTACCTTGCTCACTTTTCTTTCATTATATCTGCCTGTGTACAGTACCTCATACTTGACATGCATCACGTTTGTACAAATTCACATACATTTTAAAATATTTATTGTTATGAGATGGTTATAATCAAGTTTGCATAATACCAACAACTGATCAGATAATCAAGATACCTTTAAACTAGTACTGAGTAGGCAGTTGAGGCTTGTTTAACCCTTTCACTGCAAAAATCAGCTAAATTCAATTGAACCTTTATTACTATTAAGTGTGGAAATCCACTTTTTTTGACAGCAGTGAAAAAATTCCCCTTACTATGACAGTTGACAGATCTCCCCTTGAAATGGCTACTGTTTTACTGTCGTATCCTGGAGAACCCTTTACAACAACTTTTGCAAATTTTCTTGTTGAAAATTTAAATTCCCTATTATTTAATATTGTTTTCAAGAACTTTTAATGCCCAATATGGAAATTTTATTGTCATTTCAAGTTGGAAAAGTAATAAAAGACGTCAAATTAAGACTTTTTATTTTTTTTATGGAGAATTAACTTATGGGGGATGCACCTAAAATCTAATTATGCAGTGAAAAGGTTAAACTACCATGCTTTTAAGGACTTCTAATGGTTTTTCTTCTTAATTTATTACTCATTGAGTAGAAGAATAATTAATATGATGAATAGCGACAAGAGTTTAAAAAAAGGGGAGTTAATAATATTATGAAAAGTAAAGGATGGTTTTAATTTTTATTAACCCTTTCCACATGGGTCAAAGACCATGTCATCACGTTTGTTGAATCGCATTCAAAGTTTTATTGAACTGCTATTTTATGAATTTATTTATGTCAACAAGTTTGTAGATTATAACACAAAGTTTACTATTATACATTATTTGATCTCTTAAGTTAAAAGTAAATATTAAAAAACACACCTAAACATCGAGTTTTGTGTGTCACATGGTGTGTTGAATGCAGCACTGGTTCAAATTAATATTAATAAGCTAGAATATCAAATAAGAACCTCAAGATTTAATTTAAAAAAATCTGATATTTTGGGTATGAAACCTTGCCATGTTTACTGATAATCTGCCAAATTTCATGAACATATGCTTACTAATTTAAAAGTTATAGCATGAAAAATATAACAAGCACAAAATGGTTATGAGGTCATGCCCAGGGACAGAGCCCATGCTGAAAGAGTTAAAGAAAGTTTATAGTTAAAATTATTTTCAGTTATATATGAAACTTGCACTGTCTAAATATGCATATACTCTCATTTGTAATTATCTTAACAACATATAACCAGAAGTTTCAACATAATTTATAATTATTAGTATTACAATATTTGACAGTTTGGTTGAATGTTATTTATTTAAAGTAAACATTTGTTATTTTCAGTATTATGTTCATGTCAAGATTTGTTTGTTTGTTGTTTTTTTAAAGCCTTTTAATCACATGTTTGTCTTTTGAAAAATTTTGTTGTAAAAACTGTAATGTAAAATATACAAGTCATGTTACTTAATTCTAAACCTATCACAAGTTTTGATTTACTGGTGAACAAATTTCATTTTTTATATCTTTATAATTGAAGATAAGTTTTGAAGAAAAATAGATGCATTGATTTATATTTGAGAACTGTACAAAAGTTATTGCATTTCAGTATTACAAAATTCTGTTAATATCTGAACATAATGGAAATGGTTGTTAGATATTATTCACAACAGATAATATATTTGGCAGAAACTCTGTTATTTTCGGCTATCTTTAACATTTATTGATAGTAATGCATATTTTGAACAGTGGAAGTATGCCAACTCAGAAAATCTTATGGATTCCAAACTAAGGTGTGTTTTTGACCTTCCTTCAGAAGAAATTTCTCAGGTGAGTAATGCAAAAAGTTAGTATTTCATTCATTTGAAATTAAACTTAAAAACTATTTAACAGAGTTTATTATATTTGTTTTATTAAATGTTTATAATGAAATTGTTTTCATTAGCTGATGTCTAACTTTTTTTATGTTTATTTTAGAAATTTTATGTTTTAACTGTTAACATAATCATTACCTCATTAAGCACAATTAAAGTTTATGCTTATTAGCATAAAAAAGTTTAAAAATTGAAGTTTTTTTTCCAAAGATCCTTGAAGCTTTCTTTGTTATTTTGTACACTGTGATAATTATTTGTAGGACTATAATTAAATGTTCATGGAATTTTGAACTGTAAAACACTTTTAGAAAAATATAATTTTACAGATTGTAAGATTTACCCAATGTATCTATTCGAAAATATACAATAAATAGCTCCAACTTCAACCTGTTAATAAAAGTTGCCCTTTAATAAGCTGTTACTGTGATTGATTAATTAGCCAAAATCTTGTTTTTTTTGCCTTTATTGGATATTTGTTTTATGTTTCTTACTTTTATACTGCAAGATTTCATAATATATTTGAATTCTTCTAGCATACCTATTATTCCTAACTGTAATATGCATGATAAAATAGAACTACAAGAGGAGGATATGAACTGGCTGGTTTAACTGTTGTCATGATGAATATTGAAATTTGATATTTTGTTCTTTGATTAAAATATGAGTTAGAACCTGTAATTATCTGTACTATGAGAATTAAACTGCTTGTGTTTAAGATGTATAAGTATTTAATCTATATGCATTGTACTAATCAGTGAGTTCATGATATAAAGGAAATAGAAGAAATTGGATGGTTTAAAGTAAGTAAAATCTTAATTAAAATATTTCTAGAGTTAATTTCTGGCTATCAAACTTCTTTATTTTTTTACTCTTTAGGCATTATTGCTGTAAAAGCATGTTTAGAGTAACTACTTGGTTTATAGCAATACGTATATAATTTAAAATTTGAAAAATTTATCATGTCACAGTATAAAAAAGAAAATATGAGTAACAAATAACAACATGGTAAACAAAAATTGTTTTATCAAGTTGTGACATGTGAAAAAAACAGCCAATGTGACAATGGCAGGTCATTAGACAATCCATAGTTTATTAGAGTAAGAACAAATTATATTCAAAATTCAATGACAGTTTGGTGTGAGATAAAGGAAGAATACTATATGGTACCAATAAATATAGTTGGCAAACTTGAGAGAGAAAAAAAGTCTAAATGAAAATATTTTAAGCCAGCTTCTTTCATTTACCTGATAAAAATTTTGAAGGATGATATATTCAGTCTTCATATGATTTGCTATCATATTGAAAATTTAATTACAAATCAGATGCAAAGGGTAATAATTGCATAATTTGATTGTCTTTAGCATGTTTTAGGAAATATTTATAAAAGTTTAAAATTCTCAATGAAATCTGACATGGGAATTACTTTATATTAATATTTTGAAAATTTCATAAATTTGAGCTAAGTTTGTATCACCTTCATTCTATAATTCATACTAATTTGTGTATAAGTGTGTGTGTATTGTTTTGTGTAGTATATCCAAATTGGTGTCATAATTTTTCACATTTTGTGTATATGTGTATTTGTTTTTCTTGTTAAATACCTTTTCATTGAAAGGATTGATAGGAAAAGTAGTGTTACTGTTAAATCTAAATCCTAAATATTGTCTTGTTTTAAATTTTCTAATTTTGTGTGTTATTTGTTAAATGCACTATGTGAAGTCCTGTTTCATCTGTTTTATTATTAATTTTTCTTCTGTCATGTACTTGTAGCATGAAGAGAATGTTTTGTACACTTACAGAATAACCTAGACTCTAACATAGGGCATGTGGAAGACAATTCTCCATTGATAAAACTATCTTCAGATCCCTTACCTAAGCCTTCACCCAAGGTGAGTTACCATAACTACCATGTGCTTGTTTATTAAAATGTTCATGTAAACACTTTCATGAGTGTGGAATTTATATTACCCAATGCCAGAAACAACAAGAATTGTTGATAAGTTTTACCATTTTACATTGCCAGTTGAACAAGTAGTTTTGTTTTCTATATTATTCCTCAACCAAAACTGTATATATATCCCTTTAATTCACACACACACACACACACACACACACACACACACACAGAGTAACAAACGAATGCTTTCGTCTACAGTTGGAGCCCAGTAAAGGTTGAGTGCCACCTTTTAAGAAGAATGCACATCATAATAAAAATTACAAAAAGCTTCTCAAATGAATACTCACCTCCATATACAGATAGCTATTTCCTCTTGAATTTGCACATTCAGCCTGATGGATTTGCATGCCACCAGCCTTGTAAAAACTTCCATCTAATTTCACGTGCGACCATGTGAATTTGTGCTACTATAGGATGATGTATCATGCAGCAAGATCCTAAACCAATAGGAGTGTGACACACCTCCACACACAAATACTCTCTCTACATTTGTGCATGAGAATTTTCATTCTTTTCCTCGAACACTTGTATTCAAACACGTTTGGAGTTTGCTGATATTTCAAATTTTGTTCTCAACTTTCAGATTTCAACTTGGATTTATCATACTCAATATGATTTTATTGATCAGTGTGAACTTTATCTCTGATAATGTAGGTGATGAGATTCCTCACGTAGAGTAATTTACCACCATTTCTGTTGAGTTCTTTATCTGTGGATGATGATGCCCATCTTGCATATTTTGTAGGGTCCTTATACAGCCAGGACCATCTGCTGCCATCCTTTCCACTCATTTCTTTTGTTGTTTTGTTGAGCCTGACTTTGAAGAGGACAATCTTGAGCACTTTTTTCCCCAAAATTTCTAAGGATACTTCTCTGTCTAATGAATATCTTTTTACTTTTCCTGCTCACCTTACACATGATCAGTTTGTTTGGTACCTGGCATTTCCTTTGGGTTCAACCTCGCTCCCACTGTTTTATGTCTTGTCCTCCCTTCCTTACCATTTAACACATAGAAGTTAATGTTTAGATGTAGTTTATTACTCCTTAACATATAACTCTGAGAATTTGATGTTTCAACATCGTTTATTACATGTCCATATACAATAGATGTAGTTCATTACTCCTTACTTGTACCACATAGAATATAATGTTTAGTCATAGTTACTTACTCCTAAACATTTATCACATAGAATATTATGTTTAGTCCTAGTTCATCACTCTTTCACATGTACACATAAAAATTGATATTTGGTTGTATTTAATTACTGCTTACCATGTAACACATAGACATTAATATTTCATTCTGGTTGATTACTCCTTTACATGCCTGCACAGAAGGTAATGTTTAAATCTAATTTATTATGCCTTCACATGTATGAAAGATAATGCTTAGTCTTACTGAATTATTCCTTGCCATGCACTCATAGATGTTAATGTTTAGTTGTAGATTTTATTCCTTAACATGTCCACGTAGAAGATAATGTTTTGATATAGTTAATCACTTCTTCACATGTACACATTGAAGATTTTGTTTAAGCATAGTAAATTACTCCTTAACCCTATTGCCCCGAGTACTCTTTACTGCACGACACAAGGTTTTAGTGTCTTACATTCAAAATATTATTAAACTACTTTTTATTTAGGTTATACCAATTAGAATAGCGTAAAATCTTAGCTAATAATCCATATTTTAATATAAAACAAGTTTTAAGTTCATAATTCTACAAGGCAATATTTAAAAAAAATCATAAATTTCTACTAGTGTGACCGCATGACACATTTTCTTTTAGCATATTATCATCCCTATTTTATCCACCGCCTCTCAAAAAGTACGAAATTAAACATAAAATACTCACTAAAAAATAGTTATTGTTCAAACAAACCATAATTTTTATAGCCTTCAATTTTGTTTGGTTACAGAGCCACACCCACCTGCCACATCCTCTCCTTCACAATTTGTTGATAGTTCTCTCTTACGTTTCATTATATATTACCTATAACCAATAGAAAGTCAAGGTTTTCATGTATCAAATGACGTATTGTATAACATTGTATTCTGAACAGAATATCATCAATTTTACTCACAGTACAAGTTTTGTTCCTGTGGGAAAGTTAATGACTAGCTTGGAAAAATTTGTAACTGTTCTTGTTGCATAGTTAGAAAGCCAGGAAAATTTTGATGGTAAATGAATTTATCTACTTTTTGCATGTTATTAGTCTATATTCTTTGGTGCATTATTTCATTAAATAAAAATTATTAAATGGATTACTATCTACAGTATAAAAAATTAGGGTTAACTCTCTCTTTGAAAACCCGGAAGCAAGAAAAAAAAAGATTGGGTAAGTACTTTATTTCTTGTTTTTCATATTTATTCTTTAATTATTATAAACGTAACTTAAGTCTAAAAATACGGATCTTTTTAAGTTATTTAAGACTAGATTAGGTTAAATAAGTAATAATAATCATATAATTAAAATGGTTCATAAGGCACTCATGCAAGCAGCTCGTGGGTAATGTAATTTGATAGAGTAACGTGAGCTGTGCATTCCCTGAGTGATTTAAACTTATAATGGTGTGAATAGTAGTTAGACATGGTTCAAAGGGCAATAAAACAATAAAATTTAGTTATAAGTAGATGTATACTGTTACGAACTTAGAGCTACTTGGGATAAACGAATGTACACAGTGTGGTCACAAGTAAATAGACACCACCTTCTCAGAAAAAATGAAATTTTTCAGTCATATTCACATGAATTGATATATTTATAATTTAATTAATATCTACTAGATCTTCCTTTCGCTTCGTAGAGTTCGTTGATCGTTTGGGGCATCGTGAGAATCATCTCGTCAATTTTAGATTGTGAGATTTTTTGTCCACTCTTGCTTCAAAACTTGGAGTAGATCGCTCTTCCAAATTGGTTTTTTTGGTTGTTTCTTGACTTGCCAGTCGAGTATGGCCCAGAGGTTTACGATGGGGCTCATGTCAAAAGATTGGCTCGGCCAGGGCAACTTCTGGATACCATTTTCTTCCACTTTTGAGTAGCACATTCATGTGGACACGTGTGAAATTAGATGGGTGTTTTCACAAAGCTGATGCAGATCCCTCGGGCAGAATGTGCAAACTTGAGGAAATGGCTATCTATGTATAGAGATGAGTATCTATCAGAAATACATTTTCAGGTAAAGAAAATGTGAACTTTAAACTCTCTTTTTTTTTAATATACATGTATATATTAAACATGATTTTAGTTCATGGCAAAACCTGGTATAATAATCCTTATGACTAAATGTTAGAAAACCACAAAATACTTCAATGAATATATAAATATATATATGAAGAGTTTAGATGCAAAACACTGTACATATGTAGATTGTTACTTACATTTTGTCCCTTAAACAAGAAGTGTTCATGAATTCCACATCCATGACCATTGCATTACTAACATATTTAATAATAGGATTAGATCTACTAATATGTATTAATTTTAAACGATTAGTTTGATTTCCTGTTCATTTATGTGTGTTTCTTTGTTTGTTTAAATATTTCTGTGTGACTGGGCTGATGTGAGCATGTCATGACCTTTCAAAATTTAAATAAACATCTTATTATCAAGTTATGTCAATAAACTTGGATTAAAACATAGTTTATAATTCATATTTTTATATTATCTAAGTTTTCACATATTAATTTCAAAATGAAATATAAAAAAAATTAATCTTCATTTTTCTGTATTATGTGGTGCATCTGAGCTCCAGTTTCTCCACTTCTGAATTTTCTTGCATCTAAAATAGGTTGAAGGAGTATCAAGCCAATTAAAAGCACAATCTATACATAACTATGAGCAGGAATCTAAGACTTGAAACTTATACTTTCCTCATTGGGTGAGAATCAATAAATTTGTTACACCTACTAGAAAAGCCCCTCCCATCTCTTTCTCTGTGACTTTCAAGATTGTTTGCTAATCAACTTTACATGACTTACGAACTTGTTTATAACCAACTGAAAGAGCGGATTCTCTTTTACAATTCTACATTCATTTTTACCATCTTAACCCTTTCCACACGGGTAACAGAACAAAGGCTATATCATTGCATTTATTGACTCTCATTCAAAATTTTATTGAACTACTATTTTATGAATTTATGTCAATAAGTTTGGTATCAAACTATAGATTATAAATCAAATGTTAGTGCTATACATTATTCAATTTCTTAATTGAAAAGTATATGTTAAAAAATACACACCGAAATGTTGATTTTTGTGTGTCATATCATATGTTGAATGCAGCATATGTATATGACATGTGAATAACCAATTGAAAGCTCAGGATGTCCCTCTAGTGACTTTCTCAATCATTTTCAAGTATTATGATGTCACCTCATTCTTTCAATACAAATCTTCATTCTGGTAAGGTGAGTCTTTAGTCTGCGTGAAATTTAATATTTTATTATACCCAAATACGGCTTTAATAAAAATAAATTATAGTGGAATCCTATGGTATTGATATAGTAATTTATGATTATTTGAAATGTATTTTTAAAACCTAAAAAAATTATTTTGTTTCACTCCCACCATGTGCGAAATTTTATAAGACATAGCAAGCTATAAGAAGCAGCAAATGAGTACAAAGGTCGTAACTAGAAGAGATAATTGTTTGTTTTACTTCTTTATTTACTGTTCTATGTTTTGTATGTATTGTAC